GTGGACTTATATTGTCGGCACCCCTATTACATTTGCTTGCTTGTAGATTTTTTGATGGAATCAAATGAAATTCGGTATGTGTATACATATTCTTAAAACGAAGATCAAGTTCGAATGTGAGCTATTTTCGACTGTTAGAAGCAGAGTTATTGCCCTTGCCCGAAAATCTTGAATATTTACCCACCGCATGCCGTAGTGGGCGTATATGGCTGTGGTCCACTATCTTTATTGTTTGTTTTTCCCCACTAGGTACTATATCTAATATACCGCCTGGTATGGTAACAGATCAGTTTGGTATTGTTGGTTTATTATCGTTTATAAGAGCGGCCATGGATGGTACAATGGTACCAGCTATAATACCTGGTATAGATTTAACAACACTGGGTTTAAACCTTAACTCACCTGAGTATGTATAATATATAGCCTATTCTTTGAAGTTTTTACTATAAAGGGATTGTAATGAAGTTTTATAAACTTTTTATGTATGTGTATCAATTTACACTATTCCAATTTTCTGTCAGACATCATGTAAGCATTATTTAAGAGGAATTGCAATAACCACAGACACATGGTTGAATATTGGAATGGTGCTAATTATTGATATCAGTGTCCCCCATTATATTAAAAGTTATTTACTTAAAAGATTTACTTTTTTACTGTAATAATAATAATTCATTGATCGATATTTTTTACCTATTTATTATATGCATTTAAACCTTTCAATCCCTATTTCAGAAATTTATACAGCACTTTTCAGTCTCCGTGGGCAGAAGCACCTTGTAGACCTCAAGATATAGGTAAATCTTTATTTTATACTATATTATTATCATCCACATTCTTATGAACTTTTGTATTATAAACAGAAGATCTTGAAAAGGTCCATATTTGTGCATATTCTTCAAATATAACTGACCCATAAAATAATGTTGTTTGTGAGACCACAAGCCTATTCTGAAAATTTATTGGTTAAGTGGTCATATCTTGCTTGCCAACTGCTTGCTAATCATACTAACACATAATCTTCAAAATGTTTTTCTTTGTGACCATTTGCCTTAATAAGTGAGTTGTCTGTAAAATTACATAAGAAATTAGTGAATTTCTGTAAAGAAATTGGAAGAGTACACAGTTAATTAAAGGGTCATGCTTTGTAAAGGAATATCAAAAATCAGATATATTTATCTTAATACTATTTTCAGATTTTCATGTTCCAGCAGAATATATAACTAATATCTATATTAGATTTAAGGTAAGTTAATATCAATATTTACAAGCGGTAAGAAATTGTAATATGGACACACATGGATTTAGAGGCTCATACTGATGGTGAGCTGTGAATACTATTACTGTGTTAATATTAGATATAATATATGTATTTTACAGCTTGCACCAATCAAATTTTTTCGTTATGGAGAAGATTTATTGTTTTTCTTATTCTATATGAGTGGTGGAGATGTTTTACAGTTGGCAGTCGCTGCAGAATTGTAAGTTTTTGTTACAATAGGCTAGATTAGAAACAATCTGAAACCTTAAGCTTATCATTCAAATAGGACTTGTTAGACAGATGGATTGCACTATCTTCACATTCTCAAGCTAGTACAAACTGAATAGTTTACCTTGACTGTATTTACAAACTTCTGTGATACAAGAAGGTGGCAGTCAAGGTATAAGTACAAAGTTTGTACTAGCTTGAGATTGTGAAGATGGTCTGTAATGAGGACATCATGCTTTGAAATGGGGCCTAGATTAACTGTAATTTGACCTAACATGTATGTTTAAGTTTATATTATTCCAGATATAACCGAGACTGGAGATATCATAAAGAAGAAAGAACATGGATGACACGCGCCCCCTGGTATGGAACCTATCGTAAAAACTAATTCTTACGAAAGGGGGACATATTATTTCTTCGATGCAGTGAAATGGAGGAAGGTGGCTCGAGAATNTCATTTAGAGTATGATAAACTTGAAGAAAGACCAACACTTCCATCATTTCTGAGCCAGAATATGAATAATCCCAATCAACCCAATGTAGCCCATTAGTTTCATTGTATGTATATTTAGGCGATGCTGGATTGCGGAGTTCTTCTTGTTTTGAATTAATGGAATCAACCAGACACATGTGCCAAAAAAAATAGTAGGTGCATACATAATTCAAAATGGCGGAGAAAGGAAAATTTTGAATATGACGTAATCTGGTTTCCGTCTGTTCAAATGAGACCAGAACTTACCGATTTAGCTTCACCAAGGTTACCTTGTGATAGTTACTGTTAATGTATGTTTTATTATCCACTGTCTAATTCCTATCAGTTTACCTGGATGTTTAGATTTAAGTATCGTACACACTGAAAAACATTTTCGGTAACATGTTGCTCAACATCTTGGCAATTGACAAAAATTTGGTCCTGTTTACACATGGCAACAGTTTGATAACATGTTAACAAATTAATATCAATATAGCATCTTAGCAACATGTTGCCCTTTATGTTAATTGTCAGTGTTTACAGTACTTAATTCAAAGTGCAATTTATTTTTGTCTGTTGTCAAATTATTTCAAAATATTATCAATTGATTTTCTATCTGACTAGTTTCTATTTTGTTCAGAATTAAATATGAGTATTATGTTAAAAGCAGTGGTGCAGCCGCAGCCCGAAAGCAAGTTTTTCTGGAAAAAATCTCATAACTAGGATAGAAACTTGAAAGATGGATTTGTCTACATTTCCAATTGATGGATACTAATTTCAACACCAGTAACCCTTTTCAGATTTAAGACTATAGGGTATGTTTTAATTCAATTAAAGCAAAATGATAAAGAAGCCTCTTAAAAGAAAAATTTAGTCATTTCTGCAATTAAAGCGATAATTCCTGTATCGATTGCTCTTGAACCCACATTTTTTTTTTTTATTTTGAAAAGTGATAAAGGTATCTAAAACTGACACCTATTTACTGGTAATTGAATAAGACAACTGTATGTCCTGGTCACTTATTCTCGGAACGATCTTAGTGTTAGGATATCCTAGAAAAAGTTTAAAATGCCAAGATCATAGGACATCCTAGTGCCAAGATAGTTTCCAGAATACATGGCCTGGAAGGAATAAGGTCAATCTAAATAGATATAAATCTAGTACTATTCAGAAAGACATTTTATTATTTTGGTGCAAAAATTTGTTTCTGTTTGTTATTTTTGACTATCTACTTGCCAAGTGGTATTATTTTCATTGTAAATAAAACATCATCATGATTAATGAACAAACTTGGGGTTTTCATTTCATGGCATAAAGGGATTGTAAAGAGGTTTTATTATCTAAACAATTTAATTTGTATTGGTGTCAGTGGTTCTTGCAATAATAACCTGATTACATTTGACTGGTGTATTAGGGTACGAACACCCTGTCCTGGATACACATTTTTGAAAAAAAACGACCTTATTAAACAGAATATTTTTACTTTTTCAAAGTGAATACTGCCCTGTTTACACAGTATAAAAGCGACCCGATTAGACAGGGAATGTATTTTGCAAAGTGAATACTGCCCTTACCACATTGTAAACAATGGTCCAATTAAACAGGTCTTGTTGAACCAAAGAATAATGTCCTGATTACACAGGCAATATTGAACTCTGTAATC